TATTGTTATTACTGTTGTTGCAGGACTGTGTATGTCATAGCATTCACATCTTTGTTGCCTTTAACTCTTGCGCTCCTCCCAGTGTGTTCCTTTGCCTTGGTCATTTTGTGATGACCTCTCCCTTATTGTATATTGCCTTTCCCTTCACCCAAGTTAACATTTGTCTACTGTCTAGTTGGTGACAATCCCTCCTTTCCTCTCCTACCCCGGATAGCTTCAAAGAATGATTCTTTCCACGTGTAAACCTTTTTTTTTTTCCTATTTTTTACAGAAGTGGTCTCATACAGTAATTGTCCTTTCATGATTGACTAATTTCACTCAGCATAATGTCCTCTGGGTTCATCCAGAAGACTTGCAAATTCATTATTATTCTTTAATGTTGCATAGTATTTCATCGTCTGTACATACCAAAGTTTATCCATTCATCCACTGCTGGACACTTAGGTTGTTTCCATCTTTTTGCTACTGTGTGATGAACATGGGTGTGCATATATCATTCCACAGCTTTTATTTCTCTAGGATATTCACCTAGTAGTGAGACTGCTCGAGCATAAATTACGTCTATTTGCAGCTTCTTAAGGAAGCACCATATCACTTTCCACAGTGGTTGTACCATTTTACAAGCCCACTAGCAGGGTTCCAGTCTCTCCACACCCCTGCCAGCATTTGTTGTTTTCAGTTTTTTAAAACTTTGCTATTAATGCTGGGGTGAGATATCTCACTATTTGTGTTCAACTGGGTTCTCTAGAGAAACAAAAACCAGCAAAGCTTATATATAGAGAGAGAGAAATTTATGTTAGGAAAATGGCTCACAAACGTATAGAAGCCGGCAAGTTTAAAGTCCCTGGAGGAAATGTCAGGCTGGAGGCAGCCTTAGCTTCAGCAACCACAGGGGGCCGAGAAATTCAAGCCTGGCAGGCAGTACACTGGTTGTTGACTCCAACGAAAGACGAATCCAAGATCTCCAGGCCGAGCGATGGGCTGCTCACTCACGGAAGATTGTAGTCAGCACACCAGGGTCCCGATCCACCAAAGAATGTCTCTCTTCCTAGGATGTCCCTGGATATCCTGGAAGCAGGCCACACCCCTAGGGAAACTCCCCTTGGGCAGATTGGCCACTCAGAACACAGTCATCCGATCCCATCATGGAAACACCACACAGAACTGGGGTCCAGCCAAGTTGACACACAGCTCCAACTATCGCACTATTGTTTTGTTTGGTTCTTTCTAATGCCTAAAAACTGCAAGTATTTCTTCATGTGGTTGTTAGCCACCTGAATGTCTTCTTTGGTGAAGTGTCTGTTCATGTCCTCTGCCCATTTAACTGGATTGCTTGTCTTCTTTTTGTTGTTGAAGTGTTGAAGTTTTCTATAAATTTTAGAGATTAGTCCCTTGTTTTGATATATTATTGCCAACTTTTTCTTCCCCAGTCTGTAAGTTCTCTTTTTACTTCTTTGGTGAAGACTTTTGATGTGCACAAATGTTTAATTTTTAGGAGATCCCAGTCATCTACTTTGTCTTCTGCTACTTGTGTTTTTAGTTATGTTTGATAGTGTATTTATGCCATATTTTAGGGCCCCTAAGTTTGCCCCCTCCTCAGAAACCCAAGGAGGGGGTCATTATGAGTCAGAGATGATTCAACAGCATGTAACAAGTTTGCCTCTATTTCCTATTTAATAATCTTCATACATTTTACATTTAGATCTTTGATCTATCTTGAGTTAGTTTTTGTATAGTGTGAGATTCTGATCCTGTTTCATTTTTCTGCAGATAGATGTTCAGTTTTGCCAGCACCATTTGTTGAAAGAGGCTATCTCTTCCCCATTTGATGGGTTTCTGCCCTTTGTCAAAGATCAGTTGTCCACAGTTGGATGGATTGACTTCTGGGTTCTCAATTCTGTTCTGTTGGTCTGTGTGTCTGTCACTATACAAATACCTGGCTGTTTTGACTACTATGGCTATACAGTAGGTTTTGAGGTCAGGGAGTGTGAGGCCTCCTACTTTGTTTTTCTTTAGTAGTGTTTTGTTTATCCAGGGTCTTTCCTTTCCATATAAAGTTGTTAATTAGTTTTTTCTATCTCTTTAAAGAATGATGGTGGAATCTGGCTCTAGATTACATTGTATCTATAGAATTGCTTTGGGTAGTATTGTAATTTTTAGAATGTTAAATCTTCCTATCCATGAGTATTTATTTCCTTTCAAATGTTTTTCATGGTTGATCTACTTTTCCACCTGTGAAGTTTGGGAGTATATTGAGTTGGGATAGAATGTCTATTTTACCCTCTAAAATTTATGGAAACATTTTTTCATTCAACAATTGTTCACTTAGAAGCAGGAATGACATAAAATTGTTCAGTGAGGAGTAATGTATTTTTTAATTCTAAAAGTAGTACAGTCACATTATACTCAACCAAAATCCAATGAAACCCCTCAGCACCTCTTCTTCCTGCTGTTGAGGGTGCTCTGTCGTGTTTGAAGCTCATGGTCACAGGATGCACCCCTCCCACAGCATGTATGGTCCGACATCACGGAAACCTTACTGACCATCTCTATGGCAGCAGGAAGCCCTCCCCCAAATCTATTTACTATGGTTTCTTCTCCACATACTGCTCATGAGTCTGTGTATGATACTTCCTGTTTATATGCAACTCTGCACTGAATACTCCCACACACAGTGTTTCCTCATCACCCCAGCTTTTCTACTTCAGACTTCAAAGTCACTGTGAAAATGAAGAACTCTGTGGTTGGGCAATGACATCCCCTTCCTGAGTGCATATACACACCCAGGGCATACCCTAGGCCTTGCTCTGGGGGACAGCAGTTCTGCACTGTATGTTCCTGACATGGATGCCACGACTAGAGCATTTCACCATTTTTCCATTACCAGTGAACCACTAAGATACTGATTCCAGAGATATCTGTTGTAAACAGAACCCCTGTACTTCAGATAATGTTAATAAAAAAAAAAAAAAAACTTTGATTTACTACATTTTTTCAATACATGTTAAAAGAAATGCTTAGTAACTATTATTTTTTAAAAACTATTTTGATCTCTCTCACATCCTTGCCACATCCAGGGTTAATGTGTGGTCCAAGATGTGACCTGCTGCTCTGAGACTGCTCACCTGACCCACTTGTCCAGTCTGTGTGCCATGGCAGTCAGAGTGAACTCTCAAAATGCAAGTCAACCCATCATTGTCCTGCTCTGAACTCTCCTGGTTCAACATTGCCCAGAAGATCCACCCAGGGTCCCTGGCCCTGCATGTATTTAGTATCACAGCCAGATACTAACCTAATAAGCTAGGAGGGAGGTGCTGTTATAATCATGCCCATTTTACAGATGGACAAACTGAGCGGTGACCAGGTAGTAGGAGGCAAGCCAATGTGGGAGCCCTGGTCTTTGCTCCAGGCCTGGTCTCAAACCCAAAGACCTCCAGACATGTTCTGTTTCATCTCTACCTATTTCAGGCTCCTAGGCCTTGCACAAGCTGCACCCTCCACCTAGCAGACCCACCCCTGGTCTCCCTTTGAGACCTGCTTGGGGTCTCCTCCGTAAGCACTCTCACCACCTCTCCAGCGTGTTGATTCCCCTCCCCTCAACTGCTGACTCACTGGTTCCAAATAACCACTCATTTAGAGCTTCACAATGGGAGAACTGTGGAAAGCAAAATGAATAAAAATGCACTGGAGGAGAGGAAGGAACAATCTAAAGTCTGAAAAAAGACCAATAAGAGTAAAAAATGCTTAAGAGTAGTGAGACAACTAGAGGCTGGGTCAAGATAACCAGCTTCAGAAGGACCAGAGAAACAGTTCCTTTCCACATGGGTAGTTGGCAGGAAGAGCAAAGCTCAGAGAGGATTTAGGAGTGCTGCCTGCAATGGGCCTCAGGGCCCAAGCAGTTGGGGTAGGGTGGAGCACATCCTGAGAAAGCCAGCTCTCTCTTTCCTGAACAATGTCACAGCCCATGAGGGTAGGGAGTGTATGGAGCACAGGTGCTGTACCTGGGATTTTTAGGGGGGAAGGCTTTCTCTTCTCTGCCACTCATTCCCCTTGGTCTTGTCCTGAGCCTCAGTCCCTGCATCTATAAAATGGAGGTGGTAAGAACAAGAGGACACTATCTATGTAGCACCATGAATGTATTACATTCATGTGTAGCATATAGCAGGTGCTTTTAAATAACTGCAAAAGATATTGATGGTCAAGGAATGAAATCAACTGAATGTCCCTGGGTCCTTACCTCAGGGCTGTGGCTGCTTGGTCAGCCCTACCTCCTAATCCTCCCAGGGGCCTCATCTGACTCTAGACCACTGAGGGCAGGGTAAGAGGATCCATCTGACTTGGCCAAGAGGAGCCCAAGGGAAAAGCTGTGTCCCCTGAGATGAACTAGCTCACTCAATTGGGAGGTTTCAGGGCATCTGACAGAGAGACTGCCCACTCAGCCCCACAACCAAAGGACACCACTCCAGCTGAGAGGCAGGAACACCAGGTAGTTTCCTGATGCTCAGCAGGGGTCCCAATAAGAATGGCTCCTTCCCCCCAGGGCCAGCACCCACTCTCTTCAGGATATGATAGCCCCAACAAAGGCTCAGGCTCTCAGGTGAATTCAAGCTTTATTGTCACACATAAAGACTCTCCTGCACCTTCCTGGCCCATTCAGCACAGGTGGGAAGCCAGGTCAGAGAAGCAAGCAGGCAGGGCCTGGGCTGGTGGGACAGGGCAAGGCCAGCCCCACCCAGCCCTGTGAAGGCTGCTGGGGAAGGGTGGCACCTGGCACTGGAGCCCATCCACCCCAGGTTTCCCTGAGCGGTACCCAGCCCTGGGCTTGGAGGCTGATTTGTGCTTTGCGGGGGGAGGCTAACCCCCCAGGTGACCCTCCCTCAGGCCTCACAGCCAGGCAAGAGGGGAAGAGCCTGCCTAGCAAGCCCCCCAATGGATATGCAGAGCAGAGGATGTGCAAGGAGCAGAGCTGCCGAACAAATGGGCCCACCCACCTGGTGGGCTCAGCAGTCTAAGCCCATGGCCATAAGCAAGTCCTCAAGCACCCGCAGCCGTTGCTGCGCCTCCTCAATGGCACTGTAGGTCTGCACTGTGCTAGCCACATGGAAGCGGATATCATCCACCAGCGGGATGGAGTCTGTCTCCTGCCGGGCCGCCACAGCTGCCGCCTCCTCCTTCACTGCCTGTGCAAAGTCCTCCCGCTCCACCAGCTGCAGGACAGGTGGAGTCAGGGAGTGCTAGGACCTCCACCCTCACCATACCCAGCTGCCAAAGCAGTTGGCCCACCTTCTCGATGATCTTGGCCATGTACTCAGTGCACTGATCCTCGAGCCGGGCCAGGTGGAAGAGCTTGGCAACCCGCCACACACCCACCACGCTATCCTCATCCAGCAGCTGGGCCAGGCTGCGGCCACACAACCGCTTCAGGCCTGGCAACAGGTACATGTCAGCCACACAAAGCACGTCATAGGCCGCCTCAGGGGGCAGCTGCAGGAGAAAGAGGCAGTAAGGGTGTGTCCACCATCATCAAGGTCTGTGGATGCTCAGCCATGAGGCAAGGTCCTACTGTGGGGAGGGATCTCTGCCCATGCACCTATCCCCTACCGTAGTCCCAAAGGATCCACCAACTCAGGGGCAGAGAACATGGGGAGGGGATTCCCCAGAAGCTTGAGGACCTACTGGGATCCCTGAGGTGGGTAGGCAGGGGAGAGGCTGAGATGTCAAATTATACAGGCCCAGGTCCAAGTCCTGGGTCAGACACTTTCTAGCTGAGTAATCCCTGGACAAGACACTTAGCCTCTCTGTCTTGGTTTCCTTATTTGTGAGGTGCAGGTAACCATGCCCACCTCAAAAGGCTGTTAGGAAAATGAAACAGAGTTCCTATTCAAAACCAAGACAAGGGCCCTGCTAAGGATGGGATTTGTCATTTCTATTGGGAGTGGAGGTAACTGTTGACCTTGCTCCCTTCTGCTAATACAGGCTGTGGGGATTTATAGCCACAGCTACAGCTGAATCCTGTGTGAGAAAAGACTTAAGTTTCTACCTTGGCCTAACCTTTGGGTGGTCACAGGGAATAAAAGGAGGTGACAGGACCAATGCTATTGTGTCAAATGCTCACACACACTGTGCACACAGAACCAAGCACTTTACCTAGGAGAATACATTTACTATGCACAAGATCCCGCAAAGTAGGTACTAGTGCTACCCCTACTTTCTAGATGTGGAAACCAAGGCAGAGTGGTTATATAACAGGAACCACACAACTTGCAAGGAGCTAAATTAGGAGTCAAGCCAAGTTTGGTGCCACAACTCATATTCTAATTCATGATAGTACACTGCTTCTCAAAGTGCCCTTCAGGGCTGCAAGGCTCCTTCAGGAAGGGGTCAGGATAGACAAAGGCAGGCCCCAAGTGGCAGGGACCAGAGAACCCAGTGAAGGGACCAAGGTAGACTACTAGGAACTATAGCCCCTTCTCACAGTGACAGAGGTGCAGCTGCTGTGGTTGCCCAGCCAAAGACCACCTTCCTTCCCTGTTCACAAGAGTGGCCACTAACTAAAGCCTCTCCAGTGGAACAAGAGCAGTGCTGTGTGCGACCACTATATCATTCATACATGGAAAAGGAATCTGCATGTCCTGTCTTCCTCTTCCTCCTAGACCAGGAATCTGCTCATAGCCCAGTCTCCAAATGCAGAAGAGGATACACTCAAGGCCATATCCTCCACCTGCTTTTGTAAATAAAGTTTTACTGGAATGGAGCGCATTCAGTCTCTGGCTGCTTTTGCACTACAACAACAGAGTTGAATAGTTGTAACAGAGACCCCATGTCCCCAAAGCCTGAAATATGGCCACTGGCCCTTTACAGAAAGTTTGCTGACCTCTGCCTTACAATATGGTGGGACAGATGAAGGAACACTTTGGGTCTTCAACAAGCTAGCTGCCCTGCAACACTCAGCCCAGACAAAGAGCAACAAACTTCTCTCTTCTTTAAGCCATTGTATCTTGGTGTCTCTTTATTACAAGAGGAAACCTTCACACACATAACACTCTCTCACCCTGGCAGAGCAAACCTCTGCACTATTTGCTGCTGCCCACATGCCACACATGAATGAGTGATGCCCTGGGGCAATTCAGGACAGAGCAAGATAAGAAGTGACATGATACATAAACCCCAAGCTGGATCTACAGCAGCCCAAGGGCAGGAGGTCAGGGCTGACCACTGCTGTGGGATGGGAACTGGAGCTTACCATTATTAAAGTTTAGGGCTACTGCCAATACCTGCCTTCGAGCCAGAGGACTTGAGGACACCAAGTGGCTGACATTATGACTGTGTGGGGTGTGCCTCTGTATCAAGTGCTCAAGACATGAGTCCTGTCATTCATTCCTGTTCTGGACTGGGAACTGCCATAGCCCACTTTGCCTCAAAGAAAAATCCAAATGGGTCCCACAACCATCCTTTCCAGTTTCATCAAAACCTCACCCAAAGAACTAACCAGAAGCTTCCAGAGGCTCCCAGATAGGCACTGAGTACTCCCTTTAAGCCCTATTTTTACCCCACCCCTATACACAGGCCAGCACCACCCCAGCCCCATACCTCAGTGTGGTCGCTGTATATGTAGTAGAGCACGTGGGTGAAGATATCAGGGGAAATATTGTGCAGTGTGATGGCTGGGAGGCCCCCTGAGGCTTCTGGCTCCTCCTTCTCTCGAAAGTGATCATCCAGCAGGGCCCGGAAATAGTCACTGCGGCCACAGAAGAAGGCCTGGGGAAGGCCGGGCTCAGGAAAAGCCAGAGCCAAGGCCTGTCCCCTGAGAAGCAGTTGGACTGAGGGTAGGGGTAAAGGCGGCGGGGGTGGGGGTATGGGTTGTCACCTTGTGGCAGAGGAAGCTGCAATTGGCCACACGGAAGCAGATGTCAGGGCAGCTATTGAAGCCATCAGGGTAGGGGAAGGGCAGCTCCCCAAGATCGCCCTGGGGAGACAAGGAAAGGAGTTCCCATCAGAGCAGGTAGTTGTGACGATAGTGCCCAGCCCCTAGACAAGAGCCTTACATTAGCTTAATCCTAGTGAGGGGGTTTCAGTTTTCGATATTAAGTAAATAAACAACAAACAGAAGCAACTAATCTCAGAAAAGGAAAGTGATTGCACAAAGTCATAACAGGGAATTGAACACAAGTGTGTGGGGCTTGTTCACCATGGCCATCACAGAGGCCTCTGTCCCCAGTACATGGCCAGCCACACTCAGCCTGCACTCACACGGAGCTCAGGGGGCAGGGCGCAGTCCGCCAGCAATGCCAGGTCCTCCTGCAAACGGGAGTCAGCTGGGGGTGGCTCAATGGTCAGAACCTTCACACATGTGCCTGGTTTGGAGGCCACTGCAGAGTGGAGCACACAGCATTAGGGGCCAGGCTGCCTTGGCCAGGCCCCACCCAGGCCTGGGTCCTACACACTGACGCACCAAACTCGAACACCTTCTCGCACTTGGCCTCCAGGTCGCTGAGCAGGTCCCACAGCTGGCACTGCTTGGCTAGGCGCTCACAGTCGCTAACATGCTCCACACCGATGTCCAGACGGCCTGGGGAACAGCACTGGGATGGTCAGGGCCTGAGGGACCCTCAGCCACCAGACTGCTTTCAGGTATAAGGAAGGGGTATGGTGGCTACAGGGCAGGTGCTCCAAGAGTATTAGCTGCTATAGTCACCTCCGTGAACCCCCCACCCCCCACCCCGTTGAGAAGAGCCACAAGTGTGAAAAGTTGAATTGACAAAAGTTGTGTGATATATTTAAAAAAAAAAAAAAAAAAGAGTTGCTGCTGAGACTGCTGATGTACAACCAAACACCTCATAGGATTTGGTTCCTTGGTTTGGAGAATTAGGGTCATGGTTTTATGGGACACTCCAGTTAATTGGGCTAATAACAGATTTAACGCTTTTGTTCTATCTCCAAGCTCCCAGTGTGGTACCTGGGGTCTTGAAAAACAACTGGTCTCTACCTAAGCAACAGAAGTCAAAAACAGAGTCAAAAGCAGGAGAAGGAAATGGAATGTGTGGCTAACTGCCTCCATGAACAACTGCATTCTTAGCCACAAGACCAAAAGAACTGGATGGTGCCTGACTACCACTACTGAACATTTTGATCAAAGACTCCATAGAAGAATCTTGCTCACAAGGGAGAACATGCACAACAGAATTTCAAATTCTCATGGACTCAAGACTTTCTGGAGCCTTGAAGGCTGGATAAACCCCCGAAACTATTACCCTGACATAATCTTTAAACCTTAAACCAAAAATATCCCTGAAGTCTTCTTAAAACCAAATAATAGTTTAGGTTAACTAGTGAAAAATGTCTGCCTTGAGAACTGTGCTTTTAAGAACTACTTGTAGGGGATCAAATTGACAACAGCAACTCCAAAGATTAGACAGGAATCTTATTCGGCAGTGCATTTATATTAACAGGGGAGGAACAACTCAGAAAAGGAAGGTGAGAATGGTTGTACAACTCAAAGAATGTAATCAATGTCACTGAACTGTAGAAACTGTTCAATTGGTGTTCACATTGTCATGTATAATCTTAACAAAATAAGTAAAATTTAGAAAAATATAAAAGAAGAGCCGCAGACTAAATTCTACAGGCCCAGGGGCCAATGGGAGGGTCTGATTTGTGGATGGGACCAGCTCCTCCTCAGCAAACGTATACCAGGTACATTGACCCACTGTCTGGCAGCTCAACGCAGGAGGTACCACCCACAGTATATGGAAGATGAAGAACTGAGAGATGAAAGACCAAGACCACACCTATGTTTGGGTCTCTGCCCTCCAAGGTTATTCCTGGGTCTGCTGCTGACCAGAAATGCAGCTCCCTCACCACCCACCCACCCAGGGCCCAGAGAGTCACCTGTGTATAGGTATTGCAGCAGGGCCCCAAAGGCCACGGGGTTGATCTGTGGGTACAGTGGAGGAGAAGTCAGAGGCAGCCACCCATCATGAGTCCTAGGCAGCAAGCCCACCCCCTAGAGGAACGAACCAGTGGGTGCCTGAGAACCACGATGCTTTTGCCCTTCCATTTGGTGTCCAGCATGTTCGCGAAGTAGGCGCTGCGTGCTCCCAGGACACAGCGATGTGCCCTGAATGGCTTCCCATGCACGACAAACACCACATCGCTGTGGCTACCCTGCTCTAGAAGCCTGGGGGGAGAGGGCAGGGTGCTCAGCAAACCACAGACCTCACCTCATACTCCCCTCAGGACAGAGCCCTCAGCCCAACATGGGCCACACCCAGCAAGTGCAGTTCCCCAGTACAGACCTCTGGGCTGTGCCCCTCCTGTCTTACCGCTGCAAGAAGTCATCGTAGTAGTCCCGCCTCCTGCAGGAGGCTGTGACCTGCTTGTAGTCTCGCAGTGCCCGCCGGATGGCATCACTCAGCGCCCCATAGAGGCAGCGCTCTCCATCAAAGGTGTTGGCCTCACAGCGGGCTCCTGAGGGGGAGCAGGGCTCCCAGTCAGCAGAGCATCATCTGCACACTGTGGCTGGGAAACGGTCTGGAGCAAACCTGGGACCACAGCCCCTCAGGTTTGAGGAAAATCCTAATCCGCTGGCCCTTTTCCCCACCTCAACTCACATGGGGTGGTTAAGTCCTGGAGATCTCTTCCCAAAGTGCCATTCTCACTCTAGCATCCTCCCTACCTGAGCACAGATGTGCACACACTTCTGCATACACTCACAAGTGCACATATTCAAATTACACATATCATATGAAACCCAGAGCAGTCCCTGTGATGAACTCTGCCCCAGACACCCACCTTCACTAAGCTCACAGTCCAATGGGGGAGAAGTCCTAATAAACACACTAACAATAGTGCTAAGTGGCTTACCAGCTGCTATCAAGAAAAATAAAGTAAGGCAAGAGGTGGCAGTGGTGGTAGATGCTGCACAGGGAGATCAGAGAAGGTCACTATATGGGGGTGACAATGAGCAGAGACTTGAAAGCCAAGCAAAGGTCTGGGAAAGGGTGACCCATACAGAAGGAACAGCAACTGCAAAGGCCTTGCAGCAGAAGCAGGCTTGACTGTTGGCATAACAGAAAGCAGGAAGTGTGGCTGGAACAGCCAGGCAGTGGAAGCAGGAGGGGCAGGGAAGTCTGAGAGGAGGGGGGCAGACTGGCAGATGGGCTACCTCAAAGGCACATGAGATGACAGCTTTATTTTACATGTAATGGGAAGTCAATGGAGAATTTTAAGCAGATCAGATTTGCTGAATAAAGATGACCCTGGCTGCAATATGGGGCAGGAGGAGAAGCCGGACACCAGTGAGGAGGGGCCCTATATCCAGGCAAGTGTGCTGGTAGCTCAGCCTGGGCAGCTTGCAGTGGAGATGGGGGAAGTAGACAGAAAAGAGAATAAGGTTTTGAGAGTAGAGTTAGCTGTAGAACCGTCTAGAAAGTACAGCCTACAGATTTGATATAGGGAGTGAAAGGAATCATGAGGAGCTCTGGGCATTCACAACATGTACACATGGCTTTGAATACACATGCCTGCATGCACACATACATGCACATGTACACACACACACACTGACCCTGTACCCTCCTCACCATTAGCCAGAAGGTAGAGTACCAGCTCCTCATGTCCACACAAGCAGGCATAGTATCTGAGGGAAGAAAGGCAAGGGGGACACAGTTGTCATCAATCAAGGGTCCTCTGACCACCCCACCTACAGCCCACTCAGATCACACAACTGCAAGCACTCACAAAGGGGTGCTGTCCCATTTGTCCCGAACATTCACCTCCACATCACGCTGCTCCAGAAGGTACCTGCATAGAGAGATCAGAGCCTGGGTCATGATAGTCTGGGAGACGAGATCATGGAACAAGGAAGGAGGGAAAGCATCCCTTTTGGCTAGGTGAGGGCAGTGAGGCAGGTAGACCAGAGAGGAAAAGCATGTCAGAGGACAGCAGAGAGTAAGAACACACAGGGCAGACACTGAGAACATCAAAAATGTGGCAGAAGACAGTGGGCTGGAGCAGCAGAGCTAGGCTCCAGAGTGAAGAGACTGAGACTTTGCCCTGAAGGAGCTGGAGTGAAAGAAAGGACTGATGGGGTCTGGACTTGAGATAGCCCCATGGCTGCTTGGACAGCAAATTGGAGGCAGGAAGAGCTAGAAATGAGGCAGCTACAGGCAGTGAGGGGATATGAACCAGAGAGGCAGAGGACAGCATGGAGAAGTGGATGGTATCTGGAAGGCAGATGTCATGAGACTTAGTAGCTGATGGGATGTGGCAGGTGGGAAAGGAATCAGCATGAAAGGTGGTGGAGCTGTCACTAAGGTGGGGAACTGGAGAAACTATCTAAAAGATGAGAATTTCAACTTAGACATGATTGCCTTGGCATCAGGTGGACAGCCTGGGGGAGATGTCCAATGCAGACTGGACTTGTCCAGCTCTAGATTGTTTTCAGCCTTTGGGGTCATAAACTCTCCAGTGTCATCTGATGCTGTGTAAGAGCCTTGGTAGGCTAGGGAAGTAAGGAAGTTCAGAAAGCCTGGGACCAGCTATGGGTAGATCAGGACCAGGGAATAAAGGCAGGCATAGGGAAAAAGAAGCCCAATGAGGTGGGTAGGAACATGAAGCGCCAAGAGATGCCCAGATCCCAGCCTGGCACACCACCCCCTCATCCTCCTCTGGTCAAGGGAGACTGCGCTCTCAGCACCCGATTTGCTTTAGCTGCCCACTGCTGTTTCTCAACCTCTGGCGGAAGGAAACTGATTCTGGCCTCTAGATGTACCCAACGCCAGATTAAGAACACTGAGATTAAAAAGCCACGTCTAGAGGCCCAGGCCTGCCACTGGGCCCCGAGCTCGCCCAGAAGAGCAGCCCCTCCCCTCCGCCAGTAGCTTCTCTTTCAGGCTCTGCATAGCAGTCCCCTCCTACTGGAATCCCTCTGAGATCACTGGGAATACATCACCACCACCTCCGCCCGCCCCCCACCCCCACCCCGCGCGCACTAGTCTCGAATGTGACCGCTGCGCTGGCAGCACGCTGCTGCTGCGCCGAGTCTGGAGGTGGGTGGTCTCGCCTGGGATCCGCGACTCCGAAAGCTACGAGGAGAGCTGAGGAACCCGCCTTTCCCCGAGGCCGGCCCGCAGCTGCCCAGGCCTGTGGGCCCCTCACCGCACTCGGCCCACATCCCCCTTCTTGCAGCTGGCGAAGAGGTCGCTGGTGTCCATGTCACGGAAGCTCGGACCCGAGGCCAAACGACCTCGGGCGGCGACGGTGGTGCGGCCCAGCGGATGTAAACACGCGCGCCAGCCCCGCCCCTAGGCCCGCCCGCTTTTGCTCCGCAGCGGCGCCTGGCGCCGGGAGGACCGACCACCTCCGCCCGCAGCCCAGGACTCGCAGTTGAGAAGGTCGGCGGGCGAGGGACACCGGGACCCAGGCTCCTCGCGTGTTCAGTCTAGACTCGGCCCTGAAGTCAACCCTCCCTGACCTCAGCGCTTTTTACTTCATACCGCACCCCACCTTTCAACGCCCGACCGAGGACTTGGTCCTTCCATCCTCCCCACAGGTGGTGGCTCTCGCCTCCAGGCATGTCCACCTTCCTTTAACAGCCCCTGCTCCCACCACAAAAGACCCCCTAACCCAGGCAGAAAGAACGAGGCGGCCAGATGGGGCGGGCTTAGCGTCGTCTTCCCGACGGTTTTAATGGGCGTCCCCCTAACCCAGGCAGAAAGAACGAGGCGGCCAGATGGGGCAGGCTTAGCGTCGTCTTCCCGAGGGTTTTAATGGGCGTCCTGGTGCTCAGGGTGCACCAGCCACCTGCACCCTAAGCCCTTGGAGCTGGCGGAAAGGCGGGGCGCGAGGGGCAGTTGCCAGGGTGCAGCAGGAGCCAGGAAGGCAGGGTGCTGTCCCGGGGCCAGCTGCCCAGGTTGGGTCAGTGTCTGAGGCCAGGTATTATATTCTCAGGGCCTCGGGACGGGAGCAGGGAGTCTGTGCGAAGATTGTTTTGTAAAGTTGGCGGGAACTGGAGAGAAGGGCCCACCCTGCCCCCCCCACATCGAGGGCCTGACTGCAGGGTGGGCTACCCAGGGAGGCCCCAGAGGGCAGGGGAGGTGCGGGATCTCTGCGGGCCCGCCCTTCTCGTTGATGGCGCCCAGCCGCGGTCGGGGTAGGCGCGAAGGGATGGCCCCAGGAGGGCCAACTCAGGCCAAAGACCTCGCCCGAGACCTTGGCTGCGTCGGGGCGAAACGCCTCACAGGTGCGTGTCTTCCTCGAAAATGTCCGAGTCCTCGGGGTCCCGCTTGCCCCCCATGAGAGTGCTCCAGCCCCCGGGGCCGTTGATGGCCCCGCCGCCGTTCAGGCTGGGTTGCTTCTCTTGCATCTCCGACTGGCTGTCGCTGGCCACGTCCAGCGTGGGGTTGTCGTGGCAGCCGTTCTCAACGAAACGCAGCTCCTCACCATGCGACTGCGGAATGGAATGGGTGAAGATCACTAGGTGGGGGAGCACACAGGGCTGTGGCTCCCTCACCCCTCACCTCACCTCCGCCCAGAACACTGAATCCATACCATCCTTTGATCCCACCTCTACCAGTTCCCAGCATGTGACCTTGGAAATCTTTTTGCCCCCTAGTCGGTAATCCAGCGGAACCTCAACAGATGGCAGTTCCCTTCTCTTTTGTCCCCACAGATAACAATTCTAACCACCTTTGCTTTCCTGACATTATCTGGTCAGTCTCAACAGCTCCATTTTGTGAAGGAGGAACTAGAGCCTCAAAACCATGTGTGTTGTACGAGGGGCCAGAACTCAGCTCTACCAAAGCAGAGCAGTGCCCCTTCCTCTCCAGAAGTCCCCAGGGCACTCTCCCACCCAGGGATAGCCCTGTGGTCCATCAGGCCAGGCCAAGTATTTGCCATCAGGAGACTTGCTCCTGCTACCTGGGGTTCTTGTACCACACAGTAGCCTGCATCTCCAGTGCCAGCCCTGCAGAGGGGCAACTTGGGGCCAAGATCTAGACAAGCACTTCACCTGCATGACCCTGTTGAGTTCTCACCACAATCCTGTGCCCAAGGACAATTACTAATTACCACCCCACCCAACATGAGGAAATAGCCTCAGAGACGTGGGGAAAATGGCTGGGCATCTCTCTCCACAGGCACCTACACCCAGCCCAGGCCCTGCTGCCCACCAAGCCCTGGCTTACCACGTGCTTGAGTTTAGGTAGCCGGCGCTGCCAGCAGTTGTAGAGCAGGCCCAGCACAATGATGATGACACATATGGCACCAATGACGACCAACACCACAAAGAGTGTCCCGTAGTCACTGCGTACCTGGCTGGGCCGTGCCTGGCAGCTGCTCGTGGTAGAATAGTTCTGGATGCCGATCTAAGGAGATAGAAGGGGCCAGGCTCTTCAGCTGAGGTCCTGGGTGCCATGAATTCCCCACAGGGATTGACAGGTTGGGGCTCAGGGGCTAGGGCAGGCTTTAAGATGGAATGGCCCTTCATGCTCAGCAGGGGCTCTCTCTGCCCTATTCCATCCTGGTAGCCTGAGATCAGCTCCGAGCCCTTCCATTCCAGGTCCCCACACCCAGCTCTCCTCACAACCCCACCATGGTTTCTGTCCCACTTCCAACCCAGTTGGTGCAGGAGTCTGTGGCCCTAACCCTCTACTGAGGTTTAGCCCTTATGCTGCTAATCACTAGACAGAACCAAGAGCTCCCACTCCCTTCCCCACTGGTGATTTAAATAAAAAGGAGAACATTGAGGGCAGCTGTGAGATATTCAGAGTTTGGATAGTGCTGTGGTTAAAGCACTCAGCTGCTAATGGAAAGTCAGTAGTTTGAATCTACCAGCCACTCCATAGGGGAAAAGATGTGACAGTTTGTTTCTGTAAAGATTTATGACCTTAGAAATCCTATAGGGCAGTTCTTCTCTGTCCTATAGCGTTGCTATGATGAATCAACTCAACAGCAGTGGGTTTGGTTTTGGTTTATGAGCCACACACCACCATACTCCACCCACACACAACCACTGAATCGGGCCCCTGAAACAGCTTCTGCCTCAGGGACCACTGTGATCCAGACAACTCAATGCAACACACTGCCATGGAGTCAGATCCAACTCATAGCAACCCCTTCTTGGGTTTCCGAGGCAGTATCACTACGGAAGTAGATTGTCCAACCTTCTGTTTCATATCCCAGGGGCAGGCCCACATCACAGGGCCACTTCTGGGACCTGCTTTCTCTGGCTAAGTGGATGTGCTAGCCCCACCAGGCCAGACAGACCCTCTCCCACAAATTAGAATCTCAGGCAAGGAAGGTGAAGTAGTTCACCTTCACCTACTATCCTATTAGGATAGCAGAAGTGCCAGGATGAGAGTGCTATCTACTGGCTCCTGATGCAGAGATCCCTAGATTGCCTGGGGCCTACCCTTCCTAAGGCCAGGTATTCAGCATTTCTGTGGTCTCTGTAAGCCACTTTTCATATTTCTAGTACTTTATTTTTTTTAATTATCAAGAGTCAGTTTTTCTTGCTGGATTCACTCACTTGCTAAATTCATCATTAATATATTTCAGGTACCCAGCATGCCTTTTGGCCAAGTCAGTCTGAAGTAAGTGCCCTCCTCTGAAGTATGTCCAATAAAGCCAGAATATCCAGGGGCAGGAGAGAAGAGGCAGGGAGGCCTGTAATTAAGGGGGGGGGGGGCAAGCTGAAGTTTCCATAGCTCTCATGGTGTTCATAAGCCCAGAAATTCAGACCTGGAAAGGCCTTTAGTGATCATCCAGTTAGTACTGCAGCATTGACCAGCCTGGGCTCAAAGTCTAGTTCTACCACTTACTAGCTAACCAGTGTCAGGCAAGTCATCTAGCCTCTCTGGGCTTCAGCTCTTTCATCTTAAGTGGACATATCAACAGTATTCAACAAAAGCCTTATTTAATCCTGAGAGCCCCATGGGCTGGTAATGAGGATGCAGTAAAAACCCAGCACAACCTGGTACACAGCAGTCAATATGCTTACTTACAAAAACAAAAGCTCTCTCATCTCTGCATGTAATAGATAACGAATTAGGAGCCCAAGATTACACACAGCTCATCTTGGACATCAAACCTGCAGAACCCTCCAGAATGAAGTCAGTGGATTTCACAATTAGTGAAAGTAGTTCTGGGAGATGGTGGATGTCCTCAGAACTTTCTGGGTCTTCCCCTTCAAGGAATGTGCCATGAAGAACAAGAAGACTGAGGAAGAGTCAGCTACTCCCCACAGGCCAGCGACTCTGCTGCACCCTGAATGCCCAGCTATCTCCTCAGCCCAGCCTCTCCAGGGCCTCAAGGCAGCCAACAGAGTGCCACTGAGTCAGGAGTACCTTTCAGATACCTTTCAAGATGAGAGGACTGGTTCCTGGCCCTAAGCCCTCATCCCCCACACCAGATCCCCTACTAGATGAATACTATTAGACTCCCATTGGAGAGTCCTTGCTTGATGGTTTACTTCCATGTCTCCTGTGTGCTCCTGACTTCCTGCCACTTGTGGTTCCTGGAAACATCATGCTCATCCATCCCAATAGGTCCTTGCATAAGTCCTTTGGCTGGACATGGTGTTTCTCCCATTGTCTACCCAGAACATTCTCATTCAACCATCAAAATCTCCCTCAGAAGCTACCTCCTCTTTGTGTCCTTTCAGACCACCATCCTCTTACCACTGCCTATCCCTCCTCACCCCTTCTTTTAACCCAGCAGTAAGTATATGCACTACATGGCTCTCAGGTAAGTGTTCATATGACTGTGTTTCCACTGGACCTGTGTTTGAAGAAGAACTTAAACAAGAAGCCTACCAAAAGCAAGAGCTTGTCTTTCATTCCTTTGAACCACACAAATTAGGCAGGCTCCTGTCCTCAAGAAAGGCCAGCCCTGCTCCCAGAACACAGGAATGAGGGCATGAGAGCAGCAGCAGTTAACTGGGTCCTGCAGCCCAGCTCCAAGTCCCTGCCCTCTTACCTCCACCAGGCTCCTGCGGATGTCACCCAGTATGGAAAGGACATCTTGAGTGGGCACCACCCCTGATGGAGGGGAGAGACACCATTATGAACAGAGCCTTTGCAACAAAGCTCTGCTCCACAGGGTTCCAGCTCCCCTCTCAGACATTTCCTGGCCTGAGCTTTCATAGCCTCACTGCTTGACTCCTAATTACATACAAATCTTTGTGCTACATGGACTCTAACTCTCTCTCTCCTATACCTACTTTCTATTGATTTACTAAAAAATAATTAGTGAATACTTAACTATGACACAGGTATAATTCTAAGTAGTCTCTCCTACAACCTCATGCTGCTTCATTTTGGACATGTTCCTCCCTATCTTCTCACCTCATCACACACAGTATGCAATGCCCATCTCATCTCATGCCTGTGCTGAAACCACACCTTATTCCTATTCCCAATAACTAACTCCCACCCTCCACGTCCTCTCCAGAACCAAGCTTGTCAGAACTTCTTGAATCCTCAACTAGGAGGTCCAGTCAGTGACTCATCCTGCTATCCTACAGTTCTAAGTTCAAAAGCCCTCTCTGTCTATCCACTTTCTCATAATTCTGAGGGAGACTGCTTATGGCCTCAGAAACTGTTGGTTCAGTGCTGCCTCACTCTCTTCCTGAATCCTCTCTCCAGAGACCACCACCCCTCCCTCTCACCTGCCTCACTCACCCTGCTCGCCCACCAAGGTCATTAGCAGGTGCTGTTCCTTCTCACTGGGCTTGCTCAGGGAGATGTGCCAATCTCCATGGCGGCCACTGCCATGTCGGGGCAGCACCTCCTCTACCAGGGCCAGGAGCTGCAGCCCTCGGTGTTGCCGGAACACCTCCTATAAGGCCAGAAAGAGAACCCCCACCCCATCCTTAGTGAAGGAAAGAGGCTCTTGCTGGCCTCTTTGCCTCTAATCCTGGCCTCCCACTCCAACCTCAGCCCAGCAGCCAAATGTTTACAAAGGTTATCTGGCTATTCCCAGAGAAAGGCTGCTCTTGTAAGCTCAGGGACCGTTAGAGATATGTGAGCTCGGTGTTTGGGTGTGACTGGCCATTGGATGGGAAGGCAGGAAAAGTACAAGAACACACATTCATTTGTTCACTAGAAGTTCCTTCATACCCTGTCCTCCAACCGTAAGGAAGGCATAGGGCCTGCCTGGAGATACTTACAGTTTAGTTGAGAAGACAGATGCACTCACATAGAATGATCACCTAAGGAATACATAGAAAGTGAAGTGCTATGGAAGAATAACTAATTGTGTATAGGTATTCAAGTGTGTGTTGCTGGGGATGAATATATGTGAATTTGGGATAAATGACCAAAAGATGTATTTATCAATACAATCACCAAAAATCAGGAGAGGTGGGAAGAAGATTAACCACAATCATCCCCCATCTCTCACTGCACAAGTACTATCCAAAGGTGGTAAGTCAAGAAAGACATCTAAGTACTTTTATGGTGGTAGTGATGAAGGAAGAATTAAAAATAGGGATGGTTAAAAATGGCAACACCTGTGAAAAGGGACTGGAAGTAGAAGAAGGGATGTAAGGAGACTTAAATATTTCTTTTGATATTTTCTTGTACTGTTTAGATGTTTTTTTGATCATGTGTATATGTAATTACATAACAAAAAACAAGAGCCTGGCTCTAGGCAGGAACTCAGTGAGTGGCAGGAGCCCAAGATGGGCTCAAGGCTAGAACACTGCCTCTTAACTCATAGCCCATCATTGTCCCCAACCTGTCCCATCTGGGAAAAGACCCTCCTTTTGCGCTGGGGCAGCTCCCCATCCACAGCTCTTCTCCAGCAGCCTTCCCCTCCTATTCATGTGAAATCACTAATCTCCTGCTCTGGCCTAAAAAACTCCTAGTATGACACCCTTCTGCCAGTCACTCAGCTCTATGTTGGGTGCCCTGCTATGAAGCTGAGAGCGAGGGCTGTCTGGATGGCACAGGCCTTTCACCAGGCTACGCCAACAGGACCCCCTGTCACTCCTCATCTCTTTTCTGCTGAGCCCAAACTAGTGAGCTATTCCTTGGTTGCCATGCCAAACTAAAGGCACAAGAGTGATTAAAGTGCTGGGCCTATGTCCCTTGTTACAATGGCAAGTGCCAGGCACAGGCTCAATCCTTGGCACTCACTGATTTAATACAAAGCCAAAGTTAGGTATAAATATGGGAGAAGATTGGTGCCGAGAGACAGCCACAAAGCAGCTAGGAAAGCTCAACTGGTTCTTACCTCCCTCACTGATTGTGTGTGTGTATGTGTGTGCAGAGACAAAAAGAGAAGGGATGTATGCCTGCACCTGCCAGAGCAAAAGTGGATACACAGCGACCTAACAGGCCTACTGCTTACAAAAGGAATACCCTGGCCACATGAAGTCCTTCCCCTATATTGTACCCTGAACTACTCCATGGGTGCATTTCAATGTTTTCCTGGGTCAAGATGGCTGCCTGGCTCAAGCCCAGAGATCTACCATGTCAGATTTGGGAGGGTCTGTATGACTCCATGTTTCATACCATTTATTTTAAAGGTGGGGAAAATGAGTCACAGTGGTCCTGGGGAGGGGGAAGCCCTGGCTTTGAAATCAAATAAATCTAGGCTGAAATTCTGGTTCTGCTGTTTACTCACTCTGTGACCTTGAGCAAAATATTATACCTCTCTGAGCCTCAGTTTCCTCATCTGAAAATGTAAGGATAGTCCTAACACCCTAGACTTACTATGAAGATTTAAGAAAAATTCAGTCAATGGTGGGACAACTGGATATCCCAGTGGAAAAGAAAACATACACCATGACTCATACCTTTACCATATACCAAAATCAATTCCAGATGGTTTGTAGATCTAAAGCTTTTAAAAGTAAGCCTAGAAGATTATCTTCATGACCTTGGAATAAGCAAAAGTCTCAAAAGAGGACCAAAAACTACCAACCATAAAGGAAAAAATTAATAAATTGGACTATATTATGATCAAGTTAAAAAAATGAAGAACTTCTGTTCATCAGAAGATACTATCAAGAGAGTAAAAAGGCAACCCACATAGTGGGAGAAGATATTTACATATATATACTTAACAAAGATCTTTTATCCAGATCTTTGTCTATCAAAGTACTGCATTTCCAAGATCCTGAACTTATATATACAAATAATTCACAGAAAAAGACAGATAACCCAAGAAATAAATGGGCAAAAAAACCTGAGCAGGCAATTCAGAAAAGAGGGTATCCAAATGGGCCAAAAACATAAGAAAAAGTGCTTAACTTCATTAGCCATCAGGGAATGATATATTAAAACCACAAAATGATACCACTAAACACCTTCCAGAGGGGTTAAAATGAAAAAGAAATATAATACTAAGGGTTGGCAAAGACAGGGAAGAACCAGAGCTCTCATACTGCTAATGGGAGTATAAATTTGGAAAATTGTTGGACAGTATCTATTGAAGTTGAATATATACATATACTATGGCCCAGCAATCCCACTCCTATGCTGTAAGAAATGTGCCCATGTGCTCACCAAAAGACATGTCCAAGAATGTCCACAGCAGCAAATTCACAATAGCCTGAAAGTGGAAACTATCCAAATGCCCATCAACAACAGAATGGATAAATAACTGGAATTCTATACAAAATGAGAATAAGCAAATTTCAACTACACGCAACAATATGGACAAATCTCACAAACAGATGCTGAGTGAAAGAAGTCAGACAAAAAATAATACATACTGAATAATCCCATCTATATAAAACGCAAAAATATGCAAAATTAATTTATGGTGTTACAAGTCAATAAAACAGTTCCCTTTCTACAACCTAGATGTCCAACAACTGAGGAATGGATAACCAAACT